GGGGAGAAGCAGGAGCAGGAGGAGGAGCAGGGAGGAGGAAGGAGAGGAGCAGGAGCAGGAGGAGGGGCAGGATGAGGAAGGGGAGGAGCAGGAGCAGGAGAAGGGCAGGAGGAGGAAGGGGAGGAGCGGGAGCGGGAGAAGGGCAGGAGGCACCGGGAGCTCTGACCTGCTCTCCTTGCCCCTGCAGCCATGGTGACGCTCACTGGCATCAGTGTCTACATCGCCTACTCGGCCGCTGCCTTCCGCGAGGCGCTGTGTCTGCTGGGGGAGCGGGCGCTCCTGGACCAGGTGGACATCCGCTTCGGCTGGTCGCTGGCCCTGGGCTGGATCAGCTTCGTCTCGGAGCTGTTCACTGGGGTGGCTTTCATGGTGGCCGCGCGTGTGGTCAGCCTGCGGCGGAGGCAGGACCAGGCCATCTGAGCTGGGACATCCTGTGACAGTGGGGGAGGGAGGGCTTGGCCCCGGGGCCTCCCAGACCCACCTCCTCTCCCTCAAAGGCTGTCCATGGAGGCCAGGGGTGGCCCTGCCCTCTGGGGCCTGAGCTGCCGTCCGTGCAGCCCAGAGTGCTCTGTGCCAGGTGCCCGTGTGTCTGCCTGGGCCTGCTGCAAGACGCCAAGGAAGTGCTGGACCCATGTCACTTGAAATAAATGACAGTCCTCTGCACAGGGAGCTTCACAGCTCTGTTCCCGTGATATCTGCGTCTGGGTGCCTCCTCTGGCGTCATGAGCTCCTCCCTGTTATGAAATGTTCAGAATGACCAGAGAGGTCAGGTAACTTGTGCAAAGCTGCACAGTGAGCCAGCAGCACCCTCCTCTCTCAGTCAGCCCCAGGCCCAGTGCAGCTTCTGGACAGGCCCAGGGTCAGCTGCTTGGCGCCCACTGGGCATGGAGTTGCCCTGGCTCACACGCTGGCATGGGAAGGTGCCGCGGAGGCCTGCAAGGAGTGGGCACAGCCCTGGGTTCTCTGCACTGAGGTGCAGACGCTCCAGCTGGGCCTTGCTCCTCTGGCTGAGTTCTGACCCTCCAACGGAAAAGGCCACCCAGTGAACCGGTCCTCAGGACCAGGGCTGGTCATCCCAGAGGAAGACCCCTGGGCCAGTGAACAGGGCCCTGTGTCACCCGCGAGTGACAGGAAGCAATGCCAGGACAGCAGCCACCCACGGTGAGTGGGAAGAGCCACCCACAGCAGTGACTTCAGCTTTGCAGCACCAGAAGACCCATAGGGCCACCTGTGACAACCTCACCAGCACTGTGACGTCACCATCCTAACTGACGTTGTCCTCCTTGAGAAAGCATCCTCCTCACTGTGACACTATCAAACCTTCACTATGACAGCACCATCCTAGGACATCCTTCCCACTATGACATCCCCATCCTAGGACATCCTTCCCAC